ATCTGGCATTGCTTATCATATCCGGGGGCTTTGTGGGCGCAGGTTCTTCAGGCGCGATATGGCCTGGCCCCATCATGGTTGAATGTGTGTTTGGTGGATCGACGTGCTTCTAGTTGGTGGCGGGATTTTGTGTCTACTTTACAGTTAGGAGGACAATGGGTTAATGAGAAGATATTACGGGCTGTGGGGAATGGTACTTCGACGAGATTTTGGGAGGATAGGTGGCTGGGTGGCTTTAGGGTAAAGGAGGTTTTTCCTAGATTATATTCCTTTGCTCTCGATCCCTCTTCGATTGTAGCGCAGAATGGTCATTGGTTTGGAGATAATTGGGTTTGGGACATTCCTTGGCGCCGCCTTCCCTTCTCATTTGAGTTGCCATTGGTAGCGAGTTTGATGGAAATTCTGGATAGATTTGTGTTACGTCCTCACCTGGAGGATCACTGGTGTTGGTTGGCTGATGCTTCAGGGGTATATTCTGTTAAGTCTGCTTATTGTTGGTTGTTGACTCTTTTGGTTAATATTCCGACTCTTGATGTTAATCTTCAGGAGGTGTTGTGCAGACTGTGGAAAGGTAAAGTACCTATCAAATGCTTGGTATTTTCTTGGCAGCTTTTCTTGGATTCTGTTCCCTGTAGGTTGCTTCTGTAGGGGCGTGGTGTGCAGTTGGATTCTGTTTTATGTCCTATGTGTGACTTATTTGTTGAATATCCGATGCATCTTTTTGTTTTCTGTCCGGTGGCATATAGTACGTGGATGAATGTTTTTTGTTGGCTTGGTGTTAATTTTGTTATGCCTTCTTCTTTGGTGTCCTTTTTTCTTGTTTGGTGTGGCCAAGGGAGGAGTAAAAAGTGATCACAGTACTTTGTTATTATTTGGGTTGCAGTTATCTGGTCCATTTGGTTGCATCGGAACTGTGTGGTCTTTAAACAAGACATTGTGGATCGATTAAAATTGTTTGATTCTATTCGTCTATATTCTTGGAAGTGGATCTCTTCGGCTGGTATGGGAATGTCTTGTAACCTTGTAGACTGACACGATAATTCTTGGATCTGTTTTGTTTAGTATGTTTTTTAATAACTTTTCTCTACTTTGTATTGTACTCTATTTTTGGGATCTGAGTACCCATTGTATTCAGTTTAATTAATTGATGTTATTTGCTTATAAAAAAAATTATGTTAAGAAAATGAACCTATATAAATAATGATCTACAAGTTCAAAATAAAAAATTAAATAACATAAATTATAAACTAAACAAAATTAATTAATTAATTATATTATATTATATTACCTTTTCTTGAAATCCTAAATAACAAAATTTATGAGAAATAATCACTAAATTAATATTTACATTTTTTTTTCTAGCTTTATGGGCATCCTTGTCATCCAATTCATTTGTCTACCATGAAACTTCAACACTAATGAAGGATATTGAAAACACCTAGATACATGCACCTATCAAGTTGTCCTGTTTTAGTCATTGCTAGATCTTCATTTGCGTCTATTTTGTAGTTGTATATTTGGTCCTGTTAGAGTAATAATTACAAATATTATACTACTTTATATTTTTAATTGTTTTAAAAACAACATAAAAACATTTATAATTTTTTTTCTTTAGTGATGAAATCTTAAAAAAATCTATGTAGGTAGTTTTTAAAAATTCACACAACATAGTTTTACTTAAAGTATCTAATATTTATAAAACTACGTATCACTATTTGATTTAAGAACTAATAAAGATTTTAAAAAAACTCGATTCACTCAACGCATGCATGGTGTGCGTAAAGTTGAATTGGGCCAATAATTTCATAGTGGACAACAAATTCTTGGTGGGCTTTGCTATTTCCACCTAGTTTTTATTATTTTCACTTCCTATTTTGTTATTATTTTTAACTTCAAATACCATTCATAAAAACATATTTGTATTATATGATAAATAATACAAAATATGAAAACATGTTTCAACTTTGTTAAGAAATTTTCCATCCATGAAATCATGTTTATGTTACTTCTTTCGTTTCAAAATATATTATGCATAAGATAACATTAATTTGTATTATTTTTAATAGATTTATTAGTCTTTTTCTATTAGAACATTTTTAATGGAGAAGTTTAGAAAATACTTTAAGGTACTTCAAGCAACTCACTCCATACAAAATTTATGACATGATATAAAGACTTGTTTTAAACTTGAGAAAAGTTGTTTTAAACTTGAGAAAAGTTGTTTATTGAAATAATTGTTACTTAAGATAAAATATATTATTTTATTATTTCTTAGAACATCTCCATGAACAAAATTCATTCAATATCAATATAAAAAATTATCTAAATTTATCATCATTAATAAAAAATTACAAAACTATCAACAATCAATACAATCAACAATAATCCAGTTTAAAATCAAAAGTAAAAGGAAAAAAAAATCCAAAAGAAACCACATCACAATTAGATTTTACCACACAACGATAGTAATATACAACTACAAAGAGACACAACATAACAACACTAAGATAGAACTGCGAAAGATAAAACAATAAGTTACATTAGACACATGAGAGATATAGGTGGCATAAGACACAACAAACAACAACTGTATGGACAACGAATGTTACAACAAAGGATATGACGCTAACAAACATAATTAAGAATAAGAAGTAATTCAAAACATGCAATTCTATATTACTCAATTGACATAATACATCTCATATATAACAAACAAATTAAACTTCTTTTCAATATAAACATAATCAAAAACCCATAATTATTCCAACTAATGTCTTTATTCATAAGAGTACTTGTTTACATTACTTTAATTATACATGTAAGTATAGAAAATATATAATTAGAAATATACCACAATTGAACTCAAAATATTAATAATCTACTACATAATAAAAAAACTCAATAATCATTTCTAATAATAACACTCATATTTTCAACATGATAATGTTTTTTGTAATAATCTCTTTATTAATGACCAACTATATAAGATTTGTATTAATATATTCTATTAACATTATTTTTTAACTTCTCTATTTATAACAAAGTACATTAATTTCATATGTTTAACACCTTTAAAGTATATATCATTTTTAGAGCAAAACACTACTACAAAATTATCACAATACATTTTCACTAGTCTACAATACTATCAATAATTTCAAGTCATTAAATAAAATTTCATATCTTATTAATTTGAATTGTAACTTCAAAACATGCTACAAATTCAACTTTCATTATATATGTAACATTCACATATTATTTTACATTTTTCACTCCTCCAACTTAAAAAATACATAACCATTAATAGATTTTGTTACATCCACACATCTAACAAAATTAAAATTTAATCCAAGCACTTTAAAATGATTAAACCTCTTATATATTAGCATATAATTTTTTATTCATAGTAAATATCTTATAACTTTCTTTATAATTTTCTAATATATCAATCTTAGATTACTTTAATATCTTCTTTAACGTTCCAATGTAAAATTATGTCTAGTCAAATACAAGTCTAACCATATATAATACTTTCAACACGTGCATATAAACTTATTTCATTCTTAGGATATTGAATAAGATTAAATTTATCTTCTTTATCTTTTTAATAAGAATGACTAATACAAAACACTTTTTTATGTTAAATTTTTCTAATATTTTATTGATATATACTTTATAAAATAGACATAACAATCATTATTATGTATTTTAAAATATTTTTATTTCTATCACATCATTTATCTTACTTGTATATTTTATTTTAAAGTTATTAAAAGAAAATTCTTAATCTCACTAAGAAAATTAAAATTATTAATTACAAATAAAATATCATATCATTAATATAAAAAAATAAGAAGTTACTTGTACACTAACAATATTTTTTCTAAATCCAAATAAAATCATCATAAACAGAGCAAAAGAACTCGAACTGCCCATATCACCCCGTCCCAACCCTACCCTAAAAAAAATTTACTTTTCTGTTTTTATATATACATTGTAAAAATTAAATAATTTTTTTTAATATACAAATTATTTATTATAATTATTAAATAATTATTTTTATAATTATAATCAATAAATTTTTTATAAATTTTTTATTTATATTTTTTTCTTATTTTTTTTATTTTCATAATTTTTTCTATTTTTTCCCTCTTTACACTTCAATTTTAAATATTTATCTTTTCACTTTCATAATTTTTACCTTTGTTTATTATTCTTTTACTTATATATTTTTCTCTTTCCCAATTTTATTTTACACTATAAAAATTATAATTTTTTTTCTTTAGCCTTCAATTTTTTAATAATAAACAATTTTTCTATTATTTTTATTCAATATTATAACATATTCAAACAATTAATCTTAGTAAAAAACATGTGATTGTAAAAAATTTCCAATAACTAAATTTATTCTAATCAATAAATTTAAAACGAATTAATCATATGAGAGCTCAAAAACAATTTTGAATGTAAAAACGAATTAATCAATAAGAAAGTCTTTAGAGGCAAATTGTAAATTTTACGTATAAACCCAATGATGGAATAAAAATATAATTAAATAACTTCATAAAAATGTATTGACAAAATGAATCACATAGAACACAATGTTTTCTAGACTCGTTGAACAATTTTTAAAGTTTTTCCTAATCTTTTATTAAGACTGTCTAAACTTTTTTATCCTGCCATATTCCTCTATATTAAAAGCTCAGGTTTGAATATAACAGCGCATCAACACAGTTACAACCCTATATTACAAGCTCGAGCTTGAGTATATAGAGCATAAAAAACATTTAGAGCAAACAAAACCCAGAACTACAAATGAGCATAAAAATGGGTGTAAACTTCATTTAAGTTGAAACTGAGAAGTACATTGAAAAAAAAAAAAAAAAAAGAGAGAAGTACATTTAAAAAGGAAAAGTTTAACTAAACGATAGGAATTAAAACATAGGGACAAGACATGTTATAGTCTAAGGGTCTTCAACAAAATCAAGAACTTGTTCAGCTTAATCAACTTCCTCAATTTTGGGTCCGGCACCGCTTCCACTAGCAGGAGCAGGACCATCCTCATCCATGGCTCCTCCGGCATCACCACCAGCACCTTGGTACATCTTAGCGATGATGGGATTGCAAATGCTCTCCAACTCTTTCATTTTGTCCTCAAATTCATCAGCCTCGGCAAGTTGGTTCCCATCGAGCCATTGAATAGCTTGGTCAATCGCATCTTCTATTTTCTTCTTATCATCAGCAGAAAGCTTGGAAGCAATCTTGTCATCTTTAATTGTGTTCCTCATATTATAGGCATAATTCTCCAACGAATTCTTGGCCTCCACTTTTTTCTTATGCTCCTCGTCCTCAGCCTTGTACTTCTCAGCTTCCTGCACCATCTTTTCAATCTCCTCCTTGGAAAGCCTACCCTTGTCGTTCGTAATTGTTATCTTATTCTTTTGTCCAGTGGTCTTGTCCTCTGCAGACACGTTCAATATTCCGTTGGCATCAATATCGAAGCACACATTGATTTGTGGAACACCTCTGGGGGCAGGTGGAATTCCGGACAGCTCGAACTTCCCGAGCAAATTGTTATCACGTGTCCTCGTACGTTCACCTTCATAGACCTGAATCAACACTCCGGGCTGGTTGTCGGAGTAGGTAGAGAACACCTGCTCCTTCTTGGTAGGAATGGTTGTGTTCCTGGGAATCAACACGGTCATGACTCCTCCTGCTGTCTCCAACCCCAGGGAGAGAGGGGTAACATCCAACAAGAGAAGATCCTGCACTTTCTCATTACCCTCACCACTGAGAATAGCAGCCTGCACTGCAGCACCATAGGCAACAGCTTCATCGGGGTTGATGCTCTTGCAAAGCTCCTTCCCATTGAAGAAGTCCTGCAATAATTGTTGAACCTTGGGGATCCTAGTGGAACCACCCACAAGAACAACATCATGGACGGTGCTCTTATCCATCTTAGCATCCCGCAAACACTTCTCCACGGGTTCCATGCACTTCCTGAAGAGATCCATGTTCAACTCTTCAAACCTGGCACGGGTGATGGTTGTGTAGAAGTCAATACCCTCATACAAGGAATCAATCTCGATGGTGGTCTGAGCGGTGGAAGAGAGAGTCCTCTTCGCTCTCTCACATGCAGTTCTCAACCTCCTCAGTGCTCTCGCATTTCCACTAATATCCTTCTTGTTCTTCCTCTTGAATTCCTGAACAAAATGGTTCACCATTCTGTTATCAAAATCTTCACCTCCCAAGTGAGTATCACCAGCGGTGGCTTTCACTTCGAAAATACCTTCCTCAATGGTGAGAAGGGATACATCAAAAGTCCCACCACCGAGGTCAAAAATAAGAACGTTCTTCTCCCCAGAGCTAGTGGCCTTCTTGTCAAGCCCATAAGCAATGGCAGCCGCGGTAGGCTCATTGATAATACGCATAACATTGAGCCCCGAAATGACCCCAGCGTCCTTTGTAGCTTGCCGCTGTGAGTCATTGAAGTAAGCAGGGACAGTCACCACGGCATTCTTCACCGTGGATCCGAGAAATGCTTCCGCAATCTCCTTCATCTTAATTAGAACCATGGAAGATATCTCTTCCGCTGAAAACTGCTTCTCCTCCCCCTTGTAATTCACCACAATCATGGGCTTGTCACCGGCACCAGAAATCACCTTAAACGGCCACAGTTTCATGTCACTCTGTACCGAAGCATCAGTAAAACGCCTACCAATCAAACGCTTAGCATCTGCACCGCCATCAAATCAACAGAATCAGCAGAGATTCGCAAAAGAACAGTATAATAACTACGGATTTTTTGCACAGATATTTCCACTAAGTATACATTTAATCAAATTTCCATGGAAACCCTAAACAGTTCAATTTAGTGATTCTTTAATAAGCCTAGCATCGATATGACGCCTACCATTCAAATGCTTAGCATATATGCACCCAACGAAAACAATTAACAATCTGGTAGCATAACCAAAGATTCTTTTGCACAGGTATTCCAATTTTGGTTAAGTGAAGTCGATGTAATCAGCATTGACAATAAAATCATAACCTAGAGAGTAATCGAATCACAAACGCTTACTAACACCAAAAAAAAAGATAAATGTATAATTTAACTTATACAGTTCAAATTCGTTCAGTAAATAAAAACGAAAGAACCCTGACACGATATTACTAACTAACTAGAGCTATTTCAAAGAGAATTGAAACATATGACCTAGATCGACATAAACCACGGTGAGTAGACCAACAAAATCAACTCTAGAGACGAAAATTGAAGATAACCAAGGTGACAGAGGATGATTCGATATTACTTACCGAAAACAGTGTTGGTTGGGTTCATAGCGACCTGGTTCTTCGCCGCATCGCCGATCAACCGTTCTGTGTCGGTGAAAGCCACATAGGATGGGGTAGTTCTGTTACCCTGATCGTTGGCTATGATTTCAACACGATCGTGTTGCCAAACGCCGACGCAAGAGTAAGTCGTTCCCAAATCGATTCCGATCGCAGGACCCTCACCTTTGCCAGCCATATTCTCTCACCACTGTTTTCCCTAACGAAATTAGAACTTCGATTTCTAGAGAAAGGAATCTAAACTTACGGCAATTTCTTGAACTGAGTTGAGAAACAGAGAGGGAAGTGGTGTGTTTTAAAGAACCTGTTCGAATTCTCGAAGGTTCGGTCCGTGGGCTGTGAACCGTTGGATCAGGAAATTTGGACGGCTGGATATTTTGTTTCTTAATGGAATTGGAGTTGGGAAAAAGCGAAGCGTGAGGTGTGTGGGGTACCTCCTAAGTACTCTAGGTGGTTCCAGAATTTTCCGATTTCGAATCCGCGGTGGCGTGGCACACGTTGGATTCTCACGCGCTTTAAACTAGGATTCTTAACCGTTGACGACGCGCGGTCGCCCTTTTCGTATTGGATAGATTGTTTTTGTGATTCTCCCGCGCCATTGGCTGAAACGATGACATCTTCTATGCGCTTTAGATAACTGACCAATTGGATTTCACTTGACGCTGCTATTGTTTTCAAATTCATTCTTTACTAATTTTCCTGAATTTAACTATTTTTGTCTACTCTCCTTTATTGTTTTTTTTTTTTTCCTTTAAAGGTTTGTATATATATTTAAATATAAGGTAACCGTACGCTTAGAATGATTTATTCACCTATATCTATTTACTATTTATACATAAAAATAAATTCTTCTGATGTATTTATACATTTTTTTACTTGTTTTTCTTTCTTTATTTATTTTATTTTATTTTTTCTATTTTTCTGTTTGTTTTATTTTTTATTTTTTTTACTTATCTTATTCTTCTAATTAAAAATATTAAATTAAAACTTGATAAAATAAAAATTTTCATATTTTTAAAAAGTAAAAATATTTAAATTATCCAAAAATATTATAATTTAATATATTATATCTTAAAAAATATTATATTATAAAATTGAGGTATTATAAATTATCATGTTATAATTATTAAGAAATTATATATCATATTTCTCTTTATAAGTAAAAAATATATATAATTTTTTTAAAATTAATATTAAAATTAAAAATTATCAACTATTTATTTAAAATTATGATAATAATAAATAATTTTATTTATTATATAAATAAATATCAAATATTTATGAATGAAATATAATTTTTATTTAATAATTTAATCTAGTTATAATTAGATTGAGTTACGAAAATTAATTATAAAAAATTTAAAAATTTATTTTAAAATAATTATTTAATTTTTCTTAATTATAATATAATAATTTGTGATGTCTCAATTTATAATATAATATTTTTAAAATATAATATATTAAATTATAAAATTTTTAGATAATTTAAATATTTTATTTTTTAAGAATAATAAAAAACTCATTTTATTAAATTTTAATAATAATATGAGTGACATAAAAATAAAATAAAAAGAGAAAAAATATACTAGAATAAAAAAGAAAGAATAACAATAAATAAATAATGAGAAAGAAAAGTAAAAATAATAATAAAAAAGACAACAAAATATTTGTATTACATAAAAAGAATTTATTTTTTATTATTGAATTTTGTATATGAATTTTGTAAATTATTTAAGAAATTGATTTCTCAATTTAATATTTTAAAATATAATAAATTAGTATTTTAGTGTAAATTTTTCAACAAAAAATTAATAAACTCTCATCTCATTAATTAAATTACACAACCAAAAAAAAAATCAACAAGTTATCTTTTCAAAATTCACTGATTATTAATTTTTTTTCTTAAAAAAAACTTCTATATTGACTATTTTTGTTTCACTTGAAATTATAATAATTTGATAGTTAAATATTTTTTTTATACCACATTTCTAATAGTTTGGAATTTACACATATATATAGTTTTAATTTATTTTTAATAATCAAATATTGATATATAGTAAGTTGTCATATATTTAGGTACTTGGCGTGAGATTTATGTCTCATATTTATCAAGAAAGAAAATAAATAAATAACAATAAAAAGTTTAATGAGAAATAAATAAGATAACATTTATGTTTTATTGATGCGTTACTGCACTTTTGTAGATTGCAATTAACATGATTATTAAATTTAAATTAATGTTTTAATTTTTATCAATGTGATATAATATTTTATTAAGTGAATAATATATATTTAAAATAAAATTAATAAAAATATTGTGTATGATTAATAATAAGAAAAGTTATATGTTTATTTAAAAATAAGTATATGATAAATTTTATTAGTGGAAGTAATACAAATTTAAGATTATTTAATTTTAAATTAGTTATATAGCTATATTAATTTATTCGTGGGTTTATTGAAATATATGTATATTTATTAATTGTTTTTATAATTAATAAGTATAAATGTAGATAATTTATATGCATTATTAGTTTTATTTATATATACAAAAATATTATATCATTGGTGCATATTTAAGTTATTATTAATGTTACAATTTTATTTACATTATGTTATGTGTTGACGTATCATTTAAAGAAGAATATCAATATGATTTAATTATCGTTTGAATGTTATATGTATAACATGTGTTTTATAACTCAATACTTATGTGAAACTTTATCGGGTAATATTGATTTCTAACTTAATGAATTTTCACAGAGAAACCTATTGTTATTACCGACTCTAGTGAGCAACAAAGTTATTATAAAGTTTGAGAAATATCTAATAGACTCAATTTAATTTAAAGTTCATGAGAATGAGTGTTGCTGATAGTGTTAAGACAACTCTCCTCAAAGGTGAGGGTGCTAAAGAGTTTATAGGATTAGTGGGGTAAACTTCCAAACAGTTGATAAATTTCTTACTTGGACATTAATGAGTATACTGACTACCATAAAATTTGATGAATTACGTACTATGCATGAACATGTCATTGAAATGACAAAATTGCAAAAGGTTTAAGATATTGGAAATGATTATGAATGAGAACTCTCTAATATAATTTATTTTGAACTTATTACTGAATGAGTGTCATCCGCTTCAAATGAGTTATAATATTATTAAAGATAAATAGAATGTGCATGAATTATATGATATGTTGGTTCAGGAAGAAACGAGACTTACGAATGAAGAAAATCACTTGGTTCATTATGTAAGCAACTAAGGGAATTAAGGAGCTAGAAAAAAATTTATGTAGGAATATGATAAGGACCACTAAAAATTAGTGAGACATATGTGAAAATTCAGAAAAAAGTATCATATGACAATACTTACCATTTTATTTTTTTGGAAAATCTAGACATTTCCAAAAAGATTGCCCATAACCTATGATTTAGTTTGAAAAGAAAGTTAAGTTTATTGGTTATTTACGTTTTAAATGAAATATAACTAAAGTTCCATATAATACATGGTAGGTTGATTATGGATATACAATTCATGTTTCTAATACGATTTACAGATTCCTTATAATTCAAATCATAATGTCAAATGAAAAGTTTATCTTGATCGTGAATAAAGTGAAAACTCTAATAAAAATAGTCGAGATTTATCCTTTAATCCTTGATACTCGACATCATTTATATTTATTAGAAACTCTTTATGTACCTACTTTATTTAGAAATTTGGTTTCGTTATCTAAAATTGATATTCTTGAATACTCTTTTAATTTTTTTAATGAATTTTTCTATTTATTTAAGCATAATCATCTCATTAGTACTAATATTCTTTGTGATGATTTTATATAAATTGAATTTGAATAATTTATATGCTAAAATGTTTGTGACTTTGCATCATAATGTTAACACTAAAAACAATTTAGTTTATAGATAAAGGATAAAAAGATTAATAAAGAATAAGATCTTCTAAATCTAAATTTTACTAGTCTAAATATTTGTATAGATTGAAAAGGAGCCATTGACTCTACTATATATCTAAATTAAATAAAATACACAAATAACAAAACTTGTATAATACATTAAATAACTTTTTAAATATCAAATATTTATTCTAAGTGATCTTCAATACAATTTTTCTTAAGAAAAATATTTTGTCACTTAAACTATCATACCTACTTTAGTTAAACATGTCATACAAAGGTTCAAATACATCTAAGAAACAGATTTATATAATCAAATGAATCCTATAAATAATATATTGTAAAAGAAAAATTATTCAAATAAAACTTCTATCAATTTATTTACAAGTTTATTCACATGCAATTTTTCTTCTCTCTCCTCATAATTTTTTTAATCTTTTCTTATTCATTTCTTATTATTATTATTTTTATCTTAGGTTTCTTATTTTTTTCTCTCCTCTCTCACTTATTATTCTAATTAAATTACCACATTAAAATTTAATAAAGATATGTTAAAATAAATAATTTAAAATCAACATTAAAACTAAAACAATATTAACTAATTATTCAAAATTTTGATGACAATAAGTAATTTTATTTATTTTGACAATAAATAGTTTATCATAATAAATAATTATTCATTAAATAAAAAAATATCAAATATTTATAAGTTAAATATATTTTTTTATTTAATAATTTAATATAGTTATAATTAGATTGAATTATAATAAATAATTAGATTAGATAATTTTAAAAAAATATTAATTAAGAAATTAATTTAAAATAAATATTTTATTTTTTAAGTAATTATAACATAATAATAATATTTATAATATTTTAAATTTATCTATATTTTTAAAATATAATATATTAAATTACAGTATTTTTGGATTATTTAAATATTTTTATTTTTGAATAAAAATAAAATACACACTTTATCAATTTTTAATATATTATTTTTAATTAAAAAATAGTGTGGAATGAAAAAAAAAGAAAAAAAAAACACTAAAGGACACACAGAAAAACAATAATCATAATAAGAAATAAATTGAGACAGAGAAAAAAAAAGAAAAAAATTGAAGAAAATAACTGTATTTTATAAAAAAATAAAAAAAACTCAATTAAATAAATAAATTTAAAAAAAAATTCTATTTTTTTAAATATAATATTTATGAAATTGATTCTTAAACTATCAACTACAATCATTACACAGCTAATATATA